TCCCGTGTTTCTTCTGCCCCATTCTGAGCAAGGGTTTTTGGTGTCCTGCACCTTTAGGTGGATGTCCTAAATGTTGGATTCTTGGGTACTGTCAAGAAGATGTGAGCAGAAAGAAAACATTTTGGGTTTGCTGATCTTTGGGGCAGGCAGGTAAAGATGCAGAATGAATATGCGCTCTCTAAACAGCTGTGATAAACAGCCCCTTTGACTGTTGCTGCTGCGCTGCTGCTGTGAGCACGCCCTCACGGAGCTGCCAGTGCCAGCTGGGTGAGGTATCCATGGAGGCACCAGCTAGGAAGCACCTGTATGAGCAACTCTGCAGTGACTTGAGAGGATGGTGGTACATGGCAGCTGGGAGGAACACTGGCTGTGGGGATGTTTCTGGCAACGTACTTGGGTCCGGGGGAGAACGGTTGCTCACAGCCACCTAAAAACGCTCACCAGACTAAATTCTAACAAACAAGTACATAGGAAAGAGAGAACCTGATTGGGGAACCTGGTTACGTCTGAGGAATGAAAGTTTCAGAAAGCTTCATGGTACCAGGATTTGGTTATGTGAACCCCTGCCAGCAGAAAATTAAGTATTTGGAGCTGTTACCATGCTTGCAAGGGTAGGTGTGTGATAATCAGAAATTACGACTGGTTTATTGTCATACTGCTTCTAGACATGGGTCAGAATTCAAGAAGTAGCATGTTTCAAAAACCAAAGCCTCGATATTAAGAGCCCAAGGGTCCTTAGCCCTTCCTTGTTCATCAGTAATGCTGCAGCAGGCACTGCTTCCCAGCGCTGAAGGTTGAGGTGCCTTCAGCCCTAAAACACACGAGGCCGTGGAGCAACTCAGTCACAGCATTTCTTTCTTCATGGCTCATTAAGCATGTAGGAAGCAGAAGGCTGTCACCTCAAAGAATTTTTAAACAAAATGTTAAAAGTTCCTCTAGCCTTTCCCCAGCTCCATTATACCTGGTTATTTCAAACGATTATGTTCCCGAGAGGCTCTTGTAATGAAAGGATACACCTCAGGTGGGTCAGCTAGAAGATAACTTGCTTTGGATTGTTCACTGTAGACTATGCCCTGTGGTCACTAGCTTTGTTTTTAACTGATTCCAAACCCCACGTCTTTAACTCATTAAAAGGAAAGTCTTCTTGATAAACTGCCGGGGTGATTTTCAGCTGAGAAGAGCCAGTTCATTACAAAACCGAGTATTGCCCAGTGTTCCAAGGTGACATTCAGCCATACTCTTGAACTGAAACAGTGGATATGGTCAGAAGAAAGAGCACCTGACATTTAAAACCTTACCTCTGGAATTCTAAATTCAAGGATCGTTTGAGGTATGAACTTGAGGGTTCTGTTTTCTTTTTTTCTTAAGGGTTAGAATTTGGTGATTAGGTCTCTTTACATAATTACTTCAGGCTGAATCAGATGATCAGCACAAGTCCTGCTGTGTATTCAGCAGTTGCCAGCACTCAAAAGCATCAGGAGCATTTGCAAGCTGTAGTTTCAAAAACTGACAAAACCAAAATGGAAATGCCTGTAGTGTGGCTTGTCCTAGGTTTAATGAAGTTAGCTAAAATCATGCCTTCAGCTAAGCTGGTATCATTTGCTTTCATCTTCACTCAAATGGACAGACTTTCTCAGACTAGGCAGATTGTTGCCATTAATTCCAGTGTTGGGATGAGAAGACTGGCACACCGTAATACAATTTAAAAAACCCAAATCCACAAACATTATGTCAGGTTTCCACATAACAGAAAAATGCTGTCTCCCCCTCATATTTTATTATCATCTAGTTTGTGGTGCTGCTAGGTTTTTCAGAGTCAAATGTAGATTTTTCAAGCACTGTGAGGTAAGTCCAGAAATCAAGCTGTTTACTGCGATACATATAAATGCATTTTCGCACAGCATCATACTGCTTGTGGCCAAGTGCCTAGTGTCCCAAGACACAGAAACATGTCACACGTGAAAATTTGTTAACTTAGGGGTCTAGCACCAGCTGTTGCTTGTTTCATACCAGTGAATGTCAAGGGTATTGCATGGGACAAGAGTGGATGATGGAAACTGGACAGAAAATGGGAAAGCCAGTCTTGCTGATACCTGTTTCACTCTGAAGATACCTGCTGCTGGCTTTCGGGGTGGGGGAAGCCTGCATGCTGAAGCACCTGAGCACAACCCCTGCCAGTAGCTCAATGGGAGCTCTGTGGTTGCTTAATATTCCCATTCCCCTTGTTACTTGTAATTGCCCAGAGCTCAGTTCAGATGCAGCTGCTGCATTTTGTGAGGTCCTGTGTTTACCTGTTTTGGTTTGTTGTTTTCATATACCAGCTAAGATCAACAAGAATGATTGAAGGACTTGCCTGAGATCATACACGAGTGACTATGGCTGGATAAGGTCCAAAACTCTCCTAGTTCCCAGACTTCAGTGTAACCACAAGACCACAGTGCTTTAGTTGAACTTCATCCTCCACTGGAACTTGGCACAAAGAATCCCAAGGAAAGAATTTTCTTCTGAAGTCTTTTCTAAATGTTCTAACTTGTTCTGTCTTTGTATTCAACTAGTTCAGGAAAAATACCTTTGATGTGCTCCTAGATTTGTTTTTTAACAAGGTTCATGGCTTGAAGTTTGCCTTAAAGCAAGCGGTTGTGCAGTCTGCTGCTCGCAAGGACACGGGCATCAACGGAAGGAGGGTGTCACTGAAGATCTCCCGCCGGTAAAGCAGAAAGCACACTGACTGCTAATAAAATACATTTCTGCACAGGAAGCCTTTTTCTGCCACATTCTTATAGTACCAAGTGTTCCTCTTTCTTTAGCAATTGTTCAGTGGTTTTCTTTTTACACCGATCTTGAGCGGGAAGTGTGAAGAAAGTGTAAAGTTAAATGTGCCCCTAATGTACTGGGGAGGGGGGAAAACAACTTGAGAAAATGTTCTGCCCTAGGAGTTCCTTAGGATCCTGCATACATCAGGTATCTTTGGTCTGCCCTCACCAGGGAGAGCTGACTGACAGGACAGTTTCTGAAAAAACAATGAGTTTTTGAGAATAAGAGCAATTATCTGTTTAAATGAATTGTCATTCATGCAGCTGACAATTCCATGGCAACATGCCTGAAGTATCTGTTACCTTCTCCTCTATTTCAACAGTGAGCCACTACAAGCAAGTGCATCGACTCTCACAATCGTTATTTTGCCTTTGTAAAGCTTTTCTTCACGCAGAGGTAGTGTTACACATTTGGTTGAGGTGAGGTGGTGTAAATCTCTGTCTGCTGTTGCTTGTGAGCTGTGAGCACAGGACAGTCTTAACAGTCTTGCCCGGAGGGCGAATAACATGGTAGGCATGTGAGAATTCTTTTAATTTGTGCATTTGCAATTCATTTGCATAAGCTCAAGTCTGGGCTTGCTCAGTCCAGAGCTACCCCTAAATAATGGTGCGGGCCTAACTGCATCTCCAGTGCAGAGTGCCAGCTGCCTGTGAGACGTTTCCAAGTGTACGCTCCTCGCAGCTGTGCCTCTCCTGCGGTGGCCAGGCGTGTGCTGACGCCTGCTCGCAGCCAGGAGCCGCGCTTCAGCTCGCTGGCTCGGGCCCGTAGGCTGGAGTGCATGTTGGTCTGTGGCAGGCCATGTGGCCTGGTCACAGTGGCCAAGGGATGCAGTTTGCTGCCACTGCTCAAGCAAGCTGCCTGAGCGTGGAGCTAACCACCAGAGCCGACCTCAGTGAGTGCCGACAGCCAACACACGGGTACTCAGTAACGGCCCAACTCTTCACCTACAGCAAAGCAACACTATTTTAACCTGGAGCTGCCTCATCGGAACAGTTAACTTTGAGACCAGCTGGGCTACTGGCTGTTAGAACGCCACGGAAGAGTACATCTGCAGCGTCCTTCGCATTGTTATTTAAGTGGTTTTTTAACCAGGTCATCATGACTGGATGGGATGTTAGCTGTGGAACTCCTGTTCCAAGTCCTAATTTAACAGCTCAAAGGGGATTCATATTGGGTAGTTTAGTGGCATATGACTTTAAGAAGTGGTTTGATACTATTTTTCAAAGGCGCATCAAGGCGAATGCAAGAGAAGTGCATTTTAGGGAAGCGACTCCGCCGTAACCCAAGCTGACTAGACAGCCAAACATGAAATGATGTGTTGGTAAAATCTGATTTTTTTCCAAAGAACCTCAACCTATGACTTAAAAAGTTATGTGACCTGCCCACCCTGAATTTGAAAAGACTGTCTTGAAAACATGCTGCCTGAGGTCTGTAACATAGAGGTCTTTCTTTTTTTTTTTTTAAAAAGCCCCAAAGCCCACAACATGCTATAAAATCAAAGGGGTTGTAAAGTCAGAACAGTAAAGGAGAAGCTGCTGGACACACTATAATCTAGAAATACAATTTTAAAACTTTTTTTCCTTGAAAAAAGCTGGTGCAGAGAATACTGCTGTTTTTCTCCTGACTGTTTAATGGCTAAGAACAATCACTTAATTATAATAAATTAGGTCTGCAGTATAAATGAACATAGGAACCTTTCAAACGAGACATACTATTGTTACTTCTGGAGGATCTAAAATGGATTTAAACTATTTCAAGATTCATTTAATCACTTGCAATTTATATTAATTTAAGATTCTTTTATACAGAAAGTTGAACAGAAAAAAGCAAACATCCTAACAGCCCGTTTTCCCTAGAACAATTTTCATATAAGATAGTTTTAAATAGCTATTCTAGCGCGTTGGCGCGTGCGCTCGCTCTCTCCCCCTTTTTTAAAGGTAGCACAGCCAAAAGACAATGCAAGAACTGGCAACTGTCGACTGACTCTCTTCTCTCCTCCATCTGGTAAAGCTAAGGGGAAGACGGAGACTTGAGACAGCATGTCCCAAGATGGAAAATGCGTTTACTTTGCGAAATCCCCAGGGACTTTGCTCTTTTCCTTGGTTATACTTGATAAAACCCACTGTGCTCTGTGCCTGCATGTCACTCTTCAGTTAACAAAAGTTTTCCATTTCAGCTGTAGATAGATTTGTTTTGATGCTTCCATTTTGCTTCACTGAACACAGTACAAACCAAGGCAGGAAACTTCAGTAAAATCCCAACAGGAGCTCCCATTAAGAATATTTATGAGCAGCATTTTGTATATTCTGTTTTCTTCTTATTCTGGGGAGGAAGAATCCTCATCGTCATCCTCCTCTTCATCTTCATCATTGAACGAGCACGGAGTTTCTCCCCGTGATTCAGAGTAGCGGGATGCACTGCTGGACTGTTGACTGCTAGGGGCAAGTAACTGCCCAGTTGCTAAGGCCACTTCAGCATCCAGACCCAATCCTGGATTCTCACTATCGAAACAACAGAAATGTCGAAGTTTAGAGGATTTCTTATGAAGTTTTAAGCTTTCTTTTTGGCCTCAGCTTTTCCTTTAGTTAAAGAAATGCTACTGACAAGGAAAAATCCAAAAGCTTTACATTTAACATAGCTAATAGTTATGAAAACTGTTAAAATATTAGAAAGCTGCATAAAAAAGTTGATGGGGTGGCTTTTTGTTCATAACCAACGCGTAGAATTGCTCGAGCTGAAGAAAGCTTAAAGGATAACTCCATCACAGTTTTGTCAGTACACAGAAATGTTTGCAATATGAGATTAAGCTATTAAATGTCATGAGGAAGAACCTGTTCCAGAATAATCCCTCCTTCCCATGTTGAAGGTACAGGTAACCTCACACAGTAAAGTATGGTTGTTGAGGTGTTCGGTTTGGATTGGGTTTCTGTTGGTGGTGGAGCTGGTCGCTGGTTGGTCAGTCGGTTGGGTTTTAATTTGAAATTGCAGTTAGACAGCGCGGACTAAGCGCCTAAACAGTAGCACATTCCGACACCAAACCTTCTTTGTGCTCTTCAGAAGCTTTATCAGGCTTTTTTCCACATGTAATTACCTCTTTGTAGTCCATGCCCAGGCAGGAATTTAAGGTTAATCAGGGAAACTCTGTCCTTTATTATAAAGGATTGGGAGTGATTCTATTCTTTTGCAACAGATACAAAATAGCTGGTATGTTCAAAGTTCAAAGCTGTTGATTTGACCTTTCAAATATAATTATCAAGGAAGACAGAGTAAGAGACTTTTCCACGATCAAAAAATCAGTAGAAAACATCTCATTACCTGCATGTAAATGGTAGGAATAGTGAGGTTACTGAAAGTACCACGAGCACAGATCACTATCCTTGAATAAAAAATTATTATTTACCTTGATTTAACAGCAGAAGTGCCTCCTGCTACCTCTAGATGTGAAACTGCTTCTGCTGAACTTGCAAGTAACCCTTGGTTTATCCATGAAAATCCAGCAGACATATCTAGAAGAAAGCACAATTGTCTCGATGATGGTTACTTAGATTTTTTTCTTCCCTTTACAATCTTAAAATGTGTGTTCTCTTTGCAGGCATGATTCCTTAGTTTAGAAGAGAGGGTACCAGTAGCGCGAGTTGATAGTTGATTTTATACTGTAGACGTGTCCTGTTTAATGAGGATGAAACGTTATATATATACACACACACACGCCACCCCCCAGCACTTGGGGATGCACTCAAGCCTTGCACTCCCTCACAGTCAGAACTGTGGTTATTTTGGCAAGGCTTTTCCCTCTGAGGAGAGTTCACCCTGCAGGTGACCCAGCTAGGAGCTCTGTGCAATCACAGGTACCTGAAATAGGGTTTTGAAGTCCTTCACGGAGACGTACTGGTACAGACTGATCCCATCAAGCGCCCCACCTGCCCCAAGTGCCTTTGCTATTGCCCCTGGGGAAGGTACAAAGTACAATAACGCTTGGCAGGGTTGGTGATGCTGTAGGGAAGCCACCAAGGCAGTATGTGTTCCAGTGCACGTGTTCCGCTGGCCGAAGGCAGTTTCGTCTGGGTGGTCTGGCTGTCAGGCAGCCCCCTGACCCACGCTGACACTGCACGGAGACGGCCATCAGCTCTGGGCATCAACAGACCCCATCAGAGGTCTCACAGCAAGACTATGAAAGTGAGACCCTGTTGTACACTGCACGTGCAATGTGTCAGGAAGACTCCTCCTTAGGGACAGGAAATTTTAGGATGGTCTTGCAAAAATGCTGAACTCCTTGAGGTACTTTGTTAAAAGCCACCTGAGGGATGTGCACGGGTCACTTCCAGCCCTCACAGTACCTATTTTCCGATTCCCTAACTAGGAATGCCTGTCAGGTGGTTCCAGTTACGCACGTATCTGCCAAGGGAATCAGCAAAACAAGTCCACTGACCCAATTACACGCACGGGATTTTTTCTGGGTGTGTGTTGTTTCTGAGCTAGTGTGTTTCCATTGACCTACCCAAACTCCATCACAACACAAAGCTAAGATCAAAATCAAGTTATCAGGACTGTCTGGTCCTTTTTCATGGTGCCTGCGTGTGGTTCCAGCTGGATGCCAGATAACCAGGAGTCCCAGTCCTTACTATTCCTTTCTATGCCTGACCAAACCTTGGTTCTGTACAGCATGGTGGCAGGAAAATGGGGCTGTACTATTCACAACTATACAGACATGCTCCGTAATAGCAGGAAAGAGGAGTAACTGATGTGTTTGTTCCATACACTGTCTCATTTATCCTGTGCTCGTTAAGCTTTGGCCCCTTGAGATCTGACAGGGTACTGACTAGCACAGGGACTGTTCTAAGCAGGTTGTCACAGCCGTGTAAATTGGCTCGCCATGCCCTGGGATTCACAGGCCACCTTCTGGACTGTGCAGACTCCTTAGTAGTGAGGTGTTTCCATGCCATGTTACAGAGCGAGGCTAGCAGGGTTTGGAACATGACAGAACACTAGTAAGTGGGGCTTTCAGGTGATCTGTGGGGAGGGAATAGAGGAGAATAGCTGAATATGGATACAGCTGGGTGGCTTTCGTTAAGATTGCCCTAAATACAGGTTCATTTGTACAGAGAACATGTTCCGACAGTCTCCTCCTGTCTCTGCAGGAAGAGGCCAAACCATTTGAAATGACTGCACTGTCTTTAGATTATTAAAGTGGATTAGAGAGGTATCCTGGTGTTGTTTCCTGATCATTTGAAGGGTGTACCTGTGGGTACTTGCTTAATATTCCGGACGAGTAACAAGTCGCTGCTAGTAATCACACATTTTATTAACATTTGGGGATAATGACTAGTTAGCTTTTAGTTTTGAAGAAGGTGGTGAAAGCAAGTATGGGTTTTACACATCATGCAGAAAGAAGGTTCATAGATGCAGATCTCTGCCTTGTACTTCCCTTGCCGTGTATTTCTAAATTCTGTTTTCCAGTGGGTTCTGAGGAGTCAGGGCAAAGAGGAAGTTTGTGAAAGATGGAGAGTTTAAGAAACTGTTTCCTGTCTGGAAACTGCTGAATAGAATTCTGCCTACAACGAGAAGACTTACTACTTGTAGCAGAATAGAGAAGTTACTAATAGCTACACTTATGAACCAGGGAAAGTAGCTTGGAAAAAGCTTCCCAAGGTGGTCCAGGCCAACCTTATGTACCAGGCCTCTCCTGCAGGAGATGGACTTGGAGAGTTTAAGAAACTGTTTCCTGTCTGGAAACTGCTGAATAGAATTCTGCCTACAACGAGAAGACTTACTACTTGTAGCAGAATAGAGAAGTTACTAATAGCTACACTTATGAACCAGGGAAAGTAGCTTGGAAAAAGCTTCCCAAGGTGGTCCAGGCCAACCTTATGTACCAGGCCTCTCCTGCAGGAGATGGACTTGGTAGATTTTTTGAATGCTCTCCATAGCCTCTAGCAGTTAACGCAAAAGTGAAAGTGCTGCTTGGGCTTACTGCTGACAGCTGAGCAAGCTCATTCATCCAACGGGTACTCTCATCTCTTTATTCCAACTCCAGCCGGTTTTCCAGTCAAGGCTCGGTATGCAAGTAGATTGCAGAGGACAGAGAAGAATAAAGAAGCGGTGGAATCTAGAGGTCCTAAACTGCAGCACTTTCTCTGCCCACCGCCTTAGGGGGATACATACAAATGGGTTGGGGTTACCATGACTATTAGTGCTTCCGAGTTTTTATTTCCTGCCTTTTTATCTGTAGTCTTCTTTCTAGGAGCAAGGACTCAGCTGACAAAGGCAGGACTTGATTTTGCACTAACTGCCTGGAGTCTCTATGCGTGGCTTAAAAGGCACAGGATGTTAGTGTGGATATGGTTCTACAAGAGTTTATGCTTGTCTCAGTCAACGGTGTATTTCTGTTCATCCAGCAGTCTCAGTCCCTCCTTTCCCCTTGTTCTGGTTTCAGCCCTTAGCTAGGTAGTTCTACGTGCTACACTCTCAGAATTTCCCCTCCCAGATAAAAAGCCCGCAGTTTAGTACCCCGAGCCAGCTCTCGAGGGGGTAGAGGGAAGTAACCGTGTCAAAATGCAGCAGTGTGAAATGAGGCTGGTGACCCTGGGGTGCCGTCTTAAGCTGGTGCGAGCATTGTGTTAGAAGCCTGCTCCTTCCGCAGTCAATACGGTGGTTGTAGTGCAGTGTGCTGTACATCCGTCGCTGTTTCTGGATTAACGACTTAGCTAAGCAACACTTTAACTTTTACTCTAGGCTATGGTTAAGCTGCTGTACACCCTCTACTCTTGCTCCCTCTGGGAAACAAGAAAAAGTTAGGTCAAATCACGTCACTTTTAGAAGTCTACATCAATTACGTCAGTTGAACAACAGAAAAATGTGTTACAAACATCATTTAACATATACGTAATATTTTTATGTATGGTTTTATTAAGCCTTAGCTTCTGCTGATCTCAGTGCAGCCAGGCACCCAAAGATCTTGCCAGTGTAGTACTTAAAATACATATTAAACCCAACAATTTTTGTTAAAACATCACAAAAGCCATAGAAAACCTAGAAGACACTACTTGTATCCAATTTGGGAATTTTAAGAATGGCTAGACCACATGATCTTCCTGCAAAGAAAACACATTACTAAGGTTTTGATGCACACAACGCAAGTTCAGCAGTTCCAGGCAAATTATTTAGCATGTTTAATGCAACTAGAAATTACTTTTGGTTTTTTTTTTTTTTAAAGCTGAGACAGTCCAAGATTTCTCTTTTTTTTTTTTTTTTTTTTTTTTAAAAGCTGAGACAGTCCAAGATCTCTTTTTTTTTCTGGTAAATTTAAATTTCTTCATTGAACTGGTTTAGACTTGGATTCTTCCAACTGTTGCTCCAGTCCCATTGGCAAGCATTACAATAGAAACTGTTGTTAGTGTTTGGAAGTCAGTAATGATCTGAAAAAAGGATGACCAGGCTAAGGTCAAACTAACACGGTACAGGAAATGACTTAACCTACTTGGACATAGTGCCACAGGACTGGTTTGTGCAGCAGCTGAGTTTGTACAGCAGGGGAAGTTATACTTAAGATACGTAATCAGGCAAATGCTGGCTTTTCAAGTATTGTGCAAAACATTTAAATGTTTCCCTGATTTGCCAGTTACTGCCATTTGAAACCTCTACTATGCAATCCGTAGCCTTAACTGTAGATTTGTGTTGTGTCATCAAGTAGCAAGCAACAGACGGTAGAAACCCCTACCATAAATGTACATACTCTAGCAACAACGTTTCTGGAATCATTTTTTCAGAGGCTGAAACAGCTGAATGTAACCCGATTCTGAAGAGCACATAACTTGCCTCAATGCATTCTGAGTAAACACTACAATCAACACATTTCTTACAATTAAAATTCTAGATAGGTTTCTGGCTGCTCATCTGGTACTAGGGAAATAACCCTAACCACAACATTCTTGAATACGCAGTCTTAGAATCTAGGTTGGTCTTTTTTTGTTTAGTTTCTTCGGAACAGAGAGCTACTTGTTTCTCACTTGCACAGGAACATCATGGTTTTGCCTTTAATGCTTCCAATAAAAAAACCTCACCAGCAGTACACTGGTGTGAATTTTTTTTTTTTTCAAAAGAAGCTAAAATGAACTACTAATCACTAGTTTAGACATGTAGTTTTATTGCTTAAACTTCAAAAGCTGGTTTTACTCAGTAAATAGGGCTTGTTTTGCAAATGTAAGGGAAACCCATGCTCTGAAGATAAATTAATGGGAGTCTGAAATGAAATAGTAATTTTAGTTTGCTCCTTGATACATGGGAGCAATTAAGTTGGCACTTGAAGAGTGCCAACACTGCTGAAAGATGTGGGTTCTGCTCCTTTCCCCTTTTTTACACTGGTGGTAAATCAGGTGGTGAATAATTTTTAGTTGAATGAATCTGCAAGGAACAAATCAAGGTGTCTTTCAAGTTCTCTTTTTGGCACCACTGCAGCCTTTTAAAGACTTGGTGTGTAACTTTAAAACTGACTGAAATTAAAATACGAAATCTTAGTTTTGAAGCCCACAGGACAAGGGGACCAGGAAAACACAAACTAGTGTTGATAAACATAAGCCTATTTGATGTAGTTGGAAATGTTAAGCCACTTAAAATGTACTAATTTTTGCGAAGGTAACTGAATTTTAATTTACATCCAGCAGTGTTTTGACATCACAGGCTTGAAGAAACTCTTGGTTCTGAATTCTCTCACAGGGTATAATGACGAATACAAAAACGTCTTCAGCTTCCTGACTACTTAACTATTATTTTTTGTAGCAAAACAAAATAGCATTTTTAATACAAAGCCTGCATTTACAAGATCCTGACACAAAGATGAAATGTTGCCGACAGAAGGGAATCAACTTTAAAAGAAAAAGAAAGTAGAATGTTTGGAGTTTCCAACTGCCTGTGTGAAAGAGCTTGACGCTGCTGTAGTTTAAATAAGCAGTAGACAAGTCAGGGCAATGGCTTTGTTCCACCCTCCCTCAAAAGGGAAGGTCTGCACACTGTAGCTCCCTGGCTGACACTTCCCATACAGACCAAGTCCCTCCAGAAAACACTGGGCCAAGCTCAAGCTCTGGGCAGAGCACGGCTGACAGGAGCTGAAGGACGTGGCTACAGATTTTAGCAGCTCTAGCCCACTGATGCAAGACTGAAGGAGAGGTAGGTCTGAGTCTCTTTGAGCATGACCTGTTCAAACAGTGTCCCTGGGTGGGACACCTGTCCTGGAACTCTTCAGAGCCTCTGGCTTTATTCGGAGAAGCTCAGCTCTCAGATGGCACCTGCTGGCCCTGCGTTTTACCTAAGCATCACTGTTTCTTGTCTTAAGAAGAGTGGAAATGACTGGACACAGGACAGCTTGCCATCCATGTATCAAGAGTACACTGAGCCCGTCTGCAGGGACAGGGATATGGAGAATTCTTTGTGGAACTCACCTGCCTCAGGGAAAGTAAAATGTGAATGCAGCTGGGTCACGTATGAATCACATTTCACCAGTTCAAGATGCTCTTTCTTTCCTTTTCCTCCTCAACTTAGGAAAAGCTGCCTTCTTCCAGTCTCCTCCTCCATGCATCCACAGTTATTGAAAATACTAACCCATGACAATCTGTTCTTGGTGTCAGTTAAGTTATTTAAGAAACAATTTCTTCATAATGCAGCTCACGCAGAAATTTGTTGTTATGAATTAGTGTGAATCAGATTTACAGGACAACTATGATCAACCTTCCAAAATCAACCATAAACCATTTATGTGCCAACCCTGCTAGCTCACATACAACCTCACCTGTTACATGCCCGTGTGGGTTAGTATCATTCACTCTGCTTCAGATAACTCATGTTAGGAATTGGATCAGGAACGATATTTGAAAGTCTCATCTAACTTACCTGTGATGTAGCCTTCCAAAGCTTTTGGCACCAGAGATTTCGCAGTTCGTAGGTCCTCAACTGAGCATTTGCCTGCCTCCAGCCCAAAGGACATCCCCATTCTCTTCAGCACCTCGCTGTCATCATGAATCTCAAAAGTGTTATCGAAATTGAAGAGGTATTCAAATCTGCATGTAAAAAGTCAAAGTGAAATGGTTTTGAAAAGGGCACAGCTACGCTTTTTTGGCCTATTTTCCTTTTTTTATTGAAACGGTATGCACTAAGTTTGTAGTATGCACTGATGTAAGTGTCTAGGTTCTTCATTATCTGTAAAGGGTACTTAAGGGGGGGGGGAAAGTGCAGCAAATGGTTTCTCTCTTCTGCTTCTGTGCCCAGCATGCCCACAGGTTTTAAATAGCACTTTCTCAGTAACTAACCCTCACCACTGCAGGAAGAAAGCCTGCAATTTTCTACCTCACTGAACAGATTCAAAGGGGGAAAGGGAGACCTTAATGAACATGAACCTTCACTTACATTAAATCCAGTATTTGTAAAGGTCAGTCACCTGCAGCCCTGTCACCAAAATAACTATTTTGGTCTTGCTTCTTTTACATTTCACTTTCTGTCCTGTGCAACACTCCTCCTGTGAGCTGACCTCTTCACCTTGGTATAACTTTGCTGATTTTGACGCATTTGGATGCGGCTAGCAAAGCAGTTTGTTCAGAGTCCTGGATGATCACAACCTGCCATTTCTGCTGCAGGACTCTCACGACGTTTTTTCATTGCATATAAAAGTGGAAAGAGTGATATAAACTTAACATAGCTTTTAGAAAAGCAGGGGTGTGGTCACAGGCTGTTACAAGCCTTATGCTGTGGTCACAGGCTGTGAAAAGCCTGGACAGCACTGTCCAGGGACTGCAGTATAAGGCTGGTTCTCATTTTCTGCTGACAAAACCTTTATGCCTGGAAACGCAACCCACCCATGGGATAGGATCTTTGCAAGAAAGCCAAGTCACTGGTGGATCTTCCCCTAGCTCTCCTAGCTGGTGTCACATGTGGATTTTCTTGATAGGTTTTTTTAATACTCATTTTCTTATACCTCATCCAGTAAGTTTGGAGAAGTCATGTCCTTGGTGCCTGTACACAAAATTTTCACCTAGAAATCTACATGCTTTGCACTAGGTGTAACTATGCAGCTATATTTATTCAAGCATAACCATGCTAAAGGGGAAAATAAGATGTTTACCTTTAATTGGTACAGTTACAGTGCTGCTGCCTAGACTGGCACAGCTCAAGTCACATAACTGTTTACACGAACGGGGGCTGGAAGACCAGTGTCACGCTGAGTTACTACCAGCAAGCTGTGTGCTAAGCAATAACTGCATTTAGCTTCTGTGCTACAGGATTAAAGGCTGCATTTATTGCCCACTCTGCATTTCTCTTCCCATGAGTTGTGGTCAAATGCTGGATGTTAGAAAGGACTGTAACACCTCTCTCCCCCTGCAAGTTTCCAAGCCAAGAAACTTAAAAGAACTGTTTCTCCAGTTTAGTTTCTAGCAACCTGCAGCCTCTGACGCAGGCAGCCCCACACTTCTATCTACCGTTAACAGCTAGTTGAGTGTTTTCTTTGAGAGACTTGACACGACCCCTTTTTGACACAAGCATCACCAAATGCTATGATCTGCACAAACTGTTACCACCCCCTTACATTCTTTTTGTCTAAAATCTGTCACCTGGTATCTTCTCTTAATGTCCCTCAATTTTAACTTTAATAAGCAACTGTTCTCTGTGCACGTTCCCCATGTCATCCATGATTTTGTAGATGCCTGTGAATCCACTGTCTGCTCTTTTCTAGGCCGAAGAATCCATCTATCTGTTCCTTCTGTGAAAGCTTTTTCATAACTTAATCATTCCTCCTGCCTTCCTGTCTCTCTTTCCTGGTTATGCTACACTTTTTCCAGGAACAAGACATCACAGAGTACTCCAGATGTAGAAGTACTATAGGCATCTACTTTTACATTGCGTTCCTTCCTGGTTTCCCTAATAATTCTCAGCATTATTTTGGCTGTTCATGAGAAAGCAACTTTTGTTCTCACAGAATGCTCTGCTGGGCGGCTATCTTAGCACTCAGTGCTAAGAGCTGGGGCCAGAGGGCAAGCCCACGTGCGCACCGTTTGGGTACCTCTCCCCGCTCTTTCCCACGCTTTCTGCTCTTGCAGGGTACAAGCGCCCACGTCCCACGCCGACAGGCTCAGGCACTCCCTGCAGCCGGAGACGCGGGCAGCAGCACCCCTGAGCGGGATCACCGCCTCGGCCACCTCGTCCTCCCTGGCGATTTTTTCCCCTGGTGGTTTTTTCCCCAAGACCTATAGCATTTGTAGAAAAGCATCCTATATGCTAAATACATTTTTCCTGTTTAAATGAGACTTACTTCTTCAGATGCCTCATCGTTTCAACACAATTTTTAACTTCCTTTTCATCTGAAGACTGCTTTTCTCTACTCTGGCTTCAGCAATGTCACTCCCAGCACGCTGCCGGGCACCCCACTACCTTCTCAAACTAACCCAAACACCTCCTGGCTTTACAGGAGAGCAATGCCATGCTGTTGGGGCCAGATGAAGCCTGTTCTTGCATGGGAACGCACTTAGGAGACAAACCTCTGACCCTTGTGATGCTAATTCCCCCTCTATGTACCATCTTTTCCAAGCAATTATTTATTCTGGAAGATCCTCTGTAAATACCATTTTGAGTAGCCAAACGCCATGAGCTTATCTGTTCATCAGACTTCCTAACATCACCTGCTGGTCTGTCATAAATACCAACCAACTGATGCTTTACAGAAGCGGAATTTGGGAGAAGAAAGGAAAATGGAAGCCCATTACAACACTGGGTTATCAACGGAGGCTGAAACCACATGCAGCACAAACATTCAAGCTGACGAGTTACAGGGTTAGGCAGCACAAATCCTCTCCAATGAGCTACAGAATTGGGATTCTCCAAACTGCGACCACTTTTACCAACTGCCTTGCTCAGCAGATCAGTGTGACTGGTTTAAGCCCAAACAGTTTCTGGCACTCTTTACCTACATACTGCTGTTGCCACTAAATCAGCTGCACAGTGACCACCACAGTGGAAATCTTGTTTAACTGGGGTTGTACACTTAATGATCTCCAGATGACAGTAATGCTGAGGCTGGGTTATATACACTGAGATATCAACACCTCGAATCATTCTGGTATGCTCATTTTTAGTAGTCAGTTCGAGACTGTAGAAGTGCACTACTTCTCTAGATCTCCAGATCTACATCTCTAGATCCCAGATGCCAGTTTAATCTCTGACAGCTTCAACGCAGCAGTTCTGAAGTTGCAGTATGAAATCGCTCAACTTTTTAACGACTTAAAGCCTAAATGCAGAGCACTGTTTACAAGTGCAGTGAGAAGTGTACAGTATGCCTATAAAATACGGGTGCAGTTAAGCTAAATTAATATTGATCCTAAAATTCCCAACTTGCTGAACTGCCATGCTGCTGGGAGTATTCCGAAAGGTTTGTCACAGAATGTAATGGACTTCAGTCCAATTCTCTAAAAAGATTCAACTTGCAATAGTATTGCTTTTTTGCAGTAGAGGCTGCCTGTGCTGTGTGCTACCTGACTGGAAGTTCCCATTGGGCTCTGTATCCCAGAGAGCACAGTCTGTAATCTGCAGTGTTAAAGCAAAGCCAGCTATTCTCAGCCAATAAACTAGTCTGAGCCGATTAACAGCCAACATAACAGCACCTCATGCTTCCAGCCATTTTTTCACAGGATGAAGCACGGCAGCACGCAGAGGTACGTAAGTGGAGGATTTTCAGATTAATATAAGTGCAACTATAGCACTTTGGTTACAAAGACAGTATTTCAAATTTCTACACCATTTCCTTCCTTTTTTTTTTCCCCCCTCAAAGAGCTACGTGCAACCTTTTAGCTATTAAAAACCAGTTCCTAAGTTGTTATACTGCCCCTAGGACGTTACGTTTGTGTTACGTGGATCTCCTTGTGTCTCTGACTACACCTCTGGTGCATCAGAGGAAGAATGCAGCAGCACTCCCACACGGCTTCATTAAAAGCTAGTGCTGTCCTGGCATATCGTTTTGTTCAGCTATTTCTCCTGCTCCCTGGAATACCACTCTAAAGGGCTTTTAGAGCAGTGAAAGTCAGCCTGTTTTAACTACTGGCTGTAAAGGAATGCGGATGAACTTATTCCTATTACTGCTGCGGTCGCAATAAATGCAAAAAAAACCCCAAACACCACCCTGAAGTGACAGTAGTGAATCTGAATACAGAAGTACTTGTAGTAAACTGGAAAAATGTCTCCAATTTGTTCACAGAAAGATTGCAGACCAAAAAGAAAATAAAACTGTACAAATTGATTCCATAAACACTCACTTATCACTCGATATGCTGCAGTCTATAACTGTTCTTTTGCTAGTGTTGACTATTAGGAAAGGCAGCTGTATTGTTGAGTTCAAAGCTGGAGGGCCTTGATTTTGTTGTTCATTTTGCTGATTTCTTTGTACCAAGTTTTTGAATGCTATTTGCTGCAGAAAGAAAGAAAAAATGATCACTGATAATGAAAGAGAAGACATCAGTGTGTCCAGGAAGTGGAACTTGATAGCTCCTATTTACCAGCTCAGTGTCTCCAGTAATTCTCTGTCAACAAGTAAGTTGTGGCCTGACTTCCCCTTTGCACTAGTGAAGCTCACCAGGAACACAAGTTAAATGCTATTTTTGCACATGTACCCTAACGGCTATGCCCCCCTCACAGTCCCTGCAGAAAAAATGGGAAAGGAGAAGTAACAGCTGGTGGAGAATGGAGAGTGCTGCCCTGTTCCTTCTGAAAAGGCGCTGGAGTCAGAGGTCTTCTCTATTATTTTATATGCATAATTACCTCAGACCAGGAGCTGGTTACACTGAAACAGAAGTTAACAGAAATTAGAGTGTTCCCCCACTTCCCGTGGTCCATATTCTCCTCTCCCTCTCATCCACCACCATCTCCTCTCCTCAAAGGAATTAGTTTTGAAATTCTCCTCTAAAGTTCCCTGAAAAGGTGCTGTTTGTGACACCCCTCGCTCTCCACTGAATTCTTGAATCTGTCTGCATGTGTGCAAATGTGTCTGTTTAGGAAATGCTCTTTGAGGGATTGGAAGTCACTCTGAGGCACTACTTACTCCACTTAAGGGGAAGGCAGAATCACAAAGGACTGGTAAACCGTTTGCCAGTGAACATAATCGAGGAAGTAAGGACAGCTGTAGATAGTAAGGGGGTGCAACTCTTGTCATCTTTAGACTAATAGTTAAGAGGGCCTGAGTTGTCTTATTTTCACCAAGATAATTTCATGTTGTAATTTCAAACCGTTAATTTATTAGGTCAGACAGAAAGAATCAGAATTGTGCCCAAAGTAGGGAAGCAGTTTTTGGTGATGAAAAAACAGGAGAAACATCAGATATTTAAACGTTTCACAGCATATCTATCTAATTTCATGAAAATTCTATCAATATAGTGGCACTAGGAGGAAAAATACAGCCTTATTGCCTGTGACCACACAGAAGTTGGATTGCACTTCAATTACTGAAAGTCTGCACAGACCAAAACACTTAAGAATGCTCATAACTGTATTTGCAAAATTTTACTTTGTAAAGCCAAAACTCAAGTCATCTCAAAGGTGCATGTCAGAATGTAAGAGAGCTGGATTTGCCAGCCTTCCACTCTTAGTATCCAGAAATACCTATCTCCCCCCAGACAACTCTCTACATACTTACACAAGTTCAGTTGTAAATTTCATAGTTTAGAATTGGGAATTTTGCAAGAAATTTTGCAATTTTACCAACTCTCAGCACAGGTAACTCTGGGGGGACTTGGAGTCAGCAAAGGGGACTCCTGAGTTGTTCCCAATCCCAGTGATGTTGGCAAAGCTTCAGCACAATGCTTACAAAGGCTTGCGGCAACCAGACGCAGCGCGCAGTTTTACGACAGTTACAACTGACCCAGAAAACGAGGGTAAGAGGTAGAATCCAGTAAAGTCACAAGTGTGAAACTTCTCTTCCCTAGTGTATCAAAGCAACTGAATACATCTGGAAAGAGTTTCAGTATTTCTAAGCTGTTGGATTGGCACTTGATAATTTCATTTATAGAAGAAATAACGAAACATACCTGCAGTAGCAGTTCCTGTAGTTGGGCTCGCTTCTGTTTTATCCTTTCAATCCGTCTCTGTTTTTCTATCTTAAAATACAAACACAAATGCATCGAGTTACCTTGTCTGTTCCACTGTGCCAAACCAGAGGCTTTAGCGTTCATCACTCTGCTAGCACCATTACAAAAATCCATACTTCCTTGGTGAATGGTGGAGAATTCCATGGCATGGTAAGTAAATCGCACAAGCCTTTTCAGCCCTACCCATTTGCCATACATCTGCTTCTTTTTCAATCGCATAGTCACATGAGTTTCTCCACAAAACAGGTCTGACACACTGCAATTTCTTTATCAACCATTTGAATCCCAGTAAAGCATCAATTACTACGAGAGAGACTTATTTCCCCACCCATTCCTCCTCTCCTGTACTGTGCCCTGAGTGGCGATTAGCATCAAATGAAACACTTGTTTGGGGGATGCTTTGGGTTATTAATTTTTCTCCCCTGCCCTCCACTCCTGGAATGGCACAGGCCTGGCTGCAGGCTACGAGACATACACGTGTGGAGGCTGGGCTCAGGTTCAGCACCTGCATCTTTCCAGTGACCTCCACTTCTTATCCGGACTACTGATTTGAGACTCCATTAAACAAGATTTCAGCAAGAAAAAAGGGATAGAGGTAACATTTTCTACATAAGCACAGAATCCATTTCTTGCATCAGTTTTGTTAATGCCAGTTTACGGGGCAAAGCCTGTTTTCAACCTAAATATGCTCTGTTTGAGACAGCGGCAGTACCAGCTGCCTACTGACACTGCAGATACAGCCAACAGTATTTTATTAGTGTTCTGGGGCAACACTAAACAACTGGACAACAGTCATCATATTTCAAAGGTATCTTTCCTCATAATCCTGTTGATGCCATCACTGTATCACTGTTCCCCAAAATATTAAACTCAGCTTAAATTACCTTTTCATTCAACCACTGAAACTAAATGATGCAGTCTTTCAAAACTTGACTGGCCTAAACCCTCCTGTTTTATTTACAATGTTGCTTTGTGGTGGTGTATCCCCCCCATTTTGATGCCGGGACAAATGTATATCTCTTAAAACCAATAAATGCTACAGATAAAATTTAGGCATGGTTTCTATAGAACAAGCATTTTTGTACAGATTTCTCATTTTTGTACTGCTAATCTTATTACCGAATGACACTGTAAGAAGAGTTGGCACTTTATACAGCTTTAAAAGCAAAATTAATTCTGATTTTCACATCATGCAGATTTATTTTCTATTATTTTCTATTATGTCACAAGAAGCAACATTTTAAAAAGATATGCCCAGCTTCCATTTTGCCCATATGTAACTGGACCTGAAACACCGAACAGCATATGACCACTGTAGATGACACAATGATATTCAAGTTCCATAACACTAACCTATGCTGAAGGTAATGCATCTCGTGAATGCATGTAAAACACAGATTTAGTAATGATTTAAAAAAAACAAACCCTGAATATAATGGTTTGACATATGCATACTCCGTAGGTGGATATATTTTCCAAGCTGCTCTAAGGGACAAGGAAAGGTAAGAAAAAGCTTTTTTCTTACCACATTGATATGGTAAGACAACTGATGTAAATGAACCTGCAAAACCAAGATTGTTTTGCACTGGAGAGGCATCCCACCCACCTTTTAAGATGTTTAATGCCACAAATATCACAAATGTAATAGATATTAAGATGTATTTACAGTCAGCCATTACAGCACTCTGCAGTAAGTAGAGTAACTTGGGCTTTTTATTTATGAGGCATTTGGCCTGAAGGCCAGGCAACATTCCTGCCTATAAATTCTGGCATCCCTGCAAAAACATGGTAACTCTTAGCCAGCTAGAAAAATAATGGAAATAACCAATAAGTAAACTTCATTTTTTCTCCCTACTAATTCATAACCAGCATTTGAAATCCTAGCATGTACTAGTTTTCAATTTAATTTCCTCTGAATAACACTTCCAAGTACACACATTAATAGAAAATTGATCTTTCTAATGTATAAGCGTAACCGCACCGCAAATTCTTTTGACTTTCTCCTTCTGAATTCAGGCTACTACAGACTTCAATCTTAAAAGTTATCCCTGATCGAATCAATGTCTACTTTTGTAAGATAAACACTTTTTTTAAACTGCATGTAATGTATACTAAATAAAACTGAAGTAAGAATAAACATATGTTTTCAGCTTATTCAACTATCAAACGTTGCTTTTTTGTAATGGGCGAGAATCAAAACCTATCAGGCTCAAACTGAGAATAATCCTCTCTTCTGAAGTAGAACAGCTCCATTAACACAACCTGTGAACTAGACAGAACTTCCCATCTACCTCACGTTACCTCTAGATTCTGACATTCCTGAGCTGAGTTTGTAGGAAGGCCGATCCATCTGATTTCCTTCTTCTCCTTTGAAATGATGTTCATTGCCATCAGGACATTAAGAGCATCGTAAACTCTCCGTCTGATATTTTTCTGATCATAAGCCTGCTAAGAAAACAATGCAGAATTCATTACAACAGAAGAACTCAACAAGGAAAGAAAGACTGAACACATCCTCCATAGATGGGCAGAAGATAAAACGCCCAAACGGCAGTTCAAGGCAGAGTGGTGGTAAAGCATGATGTCTCCCTCTGTGCTACCGCCTGGAGACCACAGACACTGCCTGGAGCGTGTCTGGTTGCAAATGGAAGATTCGGGCCTGCTTGGAGCCTCGGCGCAGCCAAGTCCTGTCATGGCAAGTCTGTTTATAGTTGAAAAGCCTGACTAAACTGCACATGGTGGGTACAAGAGTAGCCTTTTTTTGAAGGTAACTCTTTTCACACATTTTTCTATTACGTTATAATTTAGACAGAGTTCAAATCTTCATTTTAATTCTGTATTTTTAAGTTTCAGATGGTAAGTCTTTATATTTGGGAAGTAGTTAAGCAAATGAAGGAAAGCATGGAGTGTGGCAGGATAATGCAGAAATAGAAGGGAAAAAATTCCATCATAAACCAGGCAATTTTGTAACGGTATAAGAAATTTCAACACATATTTGCTTACCGAATCTGTAGCTAGGTTGCTGTTAGAATTTGTGAATTCTGATACCAGCTCATCAGCAACTTCGTTGTATGAAGTTGTTCCTTTACGTTGAACTTTTTCACATACTTTCATTGAAAAATGCCTCAGACCTTTCCCATTTTTATCTCCTTTTTTGCTTCTCTTACTGGAAGGAGGAAAGTAATTATTTTAATATATTGATTTTTAATAACCTACTTTGTTACATAGCAAAAGGTCTATCTTTTCCAACGGGAATCAGGAGTCATGACAGCATGCACTGCCTAAATCAAAATGAAAACCATTCTGCTTTTTTGATTCAGTTCCTTGTTCTTTCCAAGCTGGCAAAAATGTACATTGGAGCCCTTTCCCCTTTCCTGGAGATTTCTACGTTGATAGTTTTTGAACATAGACTGCTGGGCAGATGCTTAAAAAAAAAAAAAAGGATTTGTAATTCATCTCCAGGTGGTTTCACAAAAGAACAATCAGAAAGGGGGAAAATCCTCACTGGGAGTTTGTGTGCCTGGAAGAGATTTACAGGGAACTGTCATGCTAGTGCTTAAAACAGAAAGGCTCAAACATCCCTATGTGCAATACAGCAGGAGATACCTCAATTCTCCTAACAACCAAGTTTAATATTTGTGCCATCACAGTTAAAACTGAGATACAAGAATCTCTTTTTTGGAGACTAAGTACATGTTCATTGGCTTTTATTGTGCCAAATTAACAACTGGGAACTGTCAGGGTTGTTTTCCATTCACTTTCTTCATAAAAAAGCAAGAGCTTAGATAATGGTAATGGAAAAAACAGGTGTAATTGGTTTTATCACACAAACTAGATTTGGATGCATATTTCAGCAGAAGCCTTTAAAAAGCTCAGCTGTAGTGTGCCTTTTCTTTTTAATTACAGTTTTACAAGTTGGTTTGATAATATGTTTCAGTGAGATCTATTATTTTACAGAAAAAGAGCTTGTTACTGTTGACAGAACTAGGCAAGGAAGCCATTAAGCTACAAGAATGCTTTTCCAAATTTTGAATGTATTTCAGAAGACAGAACACTGGACAGAAGGACAGAAGAAAAGGAAGAATAGAAAAAAAATCCCAAAACACTCTTAATCCCTACAGTTATTCAATTTGAGTAACCCCTGACAAGTAAACAAATGAAACCACCTTGAATGCATTCAAATAACTTCTGGAAGCAAAGGAGAAGATCATCTGTTTACAAATAGTTGTCACATTGAAAACTAGAACAATCCTGTTTCTGAAGATGTGCTTGTTTTTCACTACTCCCAGTATCATCTGTAATTGCAAATATATTTCTCAGGAAGTGATAGAGTAATTACAGCTATGAGGAATAACACAGCTTTTACGAGGAGTGAGAACTGCTGAAAGTGGGAAGTGGACACCTATCTTGCTGAAAGGCAGACCTGAAGAAATAAAACAGGTATGACTGTATACATAAAATAGAAGTTCAGCGATACTCACCTTTCTGAAAAATCTGATTCTATAAATTCTCGAGTCCGCTTTCTGTCCCTAAGAAAACACAAGTCAAACTTATATGAAAACAACGTTATATATTTAGACCAGTAAAATTAATGCATTTGGGGCCTAGCTGGGTACTAACATTTGCTGTTTCATGTTTACTGAAAGGGGAAAATAGCACACAGGCAGCTTGATAAAATTTGAGAGAGGGTGATTAGGACTTTGGAGGTTATCTGAGCTCACTGCCAGACAAGTTCTATTCCTAATTTTAACACTCTTTGCCCATATGATTTTAGGGAAGTCACTTTATCTGGAAGTGCAGATGTGAGCTAGGTAACCAAATCCCTTCAAAAAGTAGAAGCTGGGCTCCTTTGAAAATTCTTGTTTAAAATTCCACCATGTAGAAGAAAAATGCCCTTAAAAAGTGCTTAAGTCTGTATTTTCAGGAGATTGAATGTTTTGGTGTCTTTAAACAAAAACCAGGGTACAACTAAACTCATATTAGAGCTGATGCATACAGAGCTGAAGAGAGGTACTCTGAAGAAGTAGTGAATGAATTTTGCCTACGAGTAGCAGTCACCGGCCACTGCCAGTTTCTGTACAGTTCTGTTTATCAGCTGCAGTAAGCAGACTTCTGAAGTAGTATTCCAAACCTGCCTTGCCCTCTTGCAGCTGATACTTGAGAACTACCATTACTTCACACTGTTACCCTGCAGCTGGAAAACCAGGGCTCACAGCAGATACTAATGAAGCTAAAACCCCAGCAGTGCTATGGAGCTGAACAAAAGGTGGGTTGGAAGATCTGTGCCACGAGAGCCGGCAGGGATGGGGCTGTGCGACCCAGAACCCCCTGGCAGCGATGGTGGGAGCCGAGTCTGGCAGCTCTGTCCATGGTGCTTAACCGCTCCCGCTGAACAGCTGGGGCTGACCTCAGCAGAGCTGGGGCGGGTGGGGGGCACGGCCCAGTCAGCCCCTGCTCTGTACGCCAGGCTGACTGAGGGTGTACAGAGCCCTTAGCACGAACATGCTCTTGGCTCGTTTGATTTTGGAAACAATCTGGAATCTGTGAAGAGGAGTAAACAATGAGTAAAGCAAGGAGTCTGGATTCCAAATCCTCCAGAGCTGTCTTGAGCAAGGGCTCACCACTTAGGTTCAGCACTCCCACAGACCCTTCCTCACCTTTGTTCTTCAGATGAAAACATGACCTATCACGTGGACTTCTGCAGGGATCAATACTGACGGGTCAGTCTGGAGAGCATCTTGCTCTTTTTTATCAGTGAAACAGTAGTTAGCCTCATTGGAAATACTGTCTCTGGATTTTAACAGTACACGAACAAACAGCAGGGTGGTGGTGGTTGATGCACTACAACTAGGCTTCTCTCTGGGGATCTCCAGCATCTGGGTTCAGATGAAGCTTAAGCAAGCTAATGGCTCTGGTTTACCAAGCTGCGAACTGACACTAGAGCTTTTCCCTCCTCTGGGTACTGAAAGAACTTCTGCCTGGCCTTCATGATTCACAACATTTGCAGAAAGAAAGTAATCTTTGACAAATCCTTTTTCAAATAAAATCAAAACTAAAGTGAATTCAAAAGGTATTTGAGGAGATAAACACATACTCAGTGTTTATTAAAAAATCAAGCTTAAAAACTGCTCAGCCAGGCATGCAGTTTATGGTTCTACGGCTCCACCATGGCTATATTCCAGCATGGCTCCGCTATGGCACTATGTTGGGAATGTAGCGACTGGGAAGTACAAGCCTATGACAATCCTTGCTTACAACATAGCATGAAGGGAGAAAGGTTACAGCTATTATATTCTCATTTCTGCCACGTTCTAGGTGCTCCATTTTCCCAGTTCTAAAGCTGGAAAGGTTCTACTGACATTCATCACCTGTTTAGAAGAATTAATCCAGATACGGAAATAAACTATGCTTTAATTTTCAAAGGTAAAGCACTACATCTGTCCTGAAACAAATAAGCTCAGCAGTGCTGGTATTAAGAAAAAACCCCAAACGAGTGAAATGCTGTAAAGGCCAGATCTCCTTAGAAGAGAAAAAGAGAGTCGTATTACTCTGGAGTACCTCAGAACCCATGAAAAGTTGTTGCTATTGTAAAATAGTAATAAAAATACAACATTGATTACATTCAAAATTTACCATTAGAGCTTTATTCTTAAATGACTCTTGAAGTGTTTTTGACAGTCCCTTCCCCTTTTGACACCTGCTGATACACTCAAAAGCAAAGCTACTTGGGTATACCATGAACTTTTGGGGGGAGAGGGAAGTGATTCTTTTCACAGGACTCAGGAATTTCTGACTCTCCATTGACACAAAGAAACAGACACTGCCATAAGCCAAAATTAAACCAGACAGTGGAGTGACTGGTGCTTGTACTTCCTCATCCCCATGCTCCAGACATCAAAAATTACAATAGTCTAAAGAGCATACTCCTTTTAGTTGTGTAAGAACTAAAGCCATAAGCCAACATACAGATACAACAGTATAAATAAAGAAAAAAAAAATCAGAACAGATCCTCCAACATCTTCAAATAAAATGAAAACCTTACCCTGGGACCCAGCCAGAAGCTTCCATTATGTGTGTCTGTGTGACCATTGTTGGAGCTGGGTTATATGGACTCCCGATCAGAACACTCCCTGAATTGGTCAGTCTCTGCGATGTGCTTATGATCTGTGAAATTTCAAAATAAAAACACAGCTCTCTGAAGAAAACAGAGGTGACCACAGCCCAAAATTCATAGTAAGAAAAAAGTAATTCTGTACCACATGCAAGCTGCAACCAAAATACACAGAACAGATGCCATCAGAAGATCCTTACACATGAAAGTAATTACAATGCTGTTAGGTTTTCTACTAATTGTCCCATATCACTGTGTTATTCATATGGACAAGATCTAGACAAATAGAAATAATTACTGGTATGACAGATAGGATCTATAACTACATACATCTGTCTGATTCTTCAAGAGTACATCTAGGCAATTTCTTGATCACTGTAATCAATAACGACTAATTTCCAATGCATTTGTCTCTTGCAATTGTCTGTCTTTGCTGCTGACGATAATCTGAGCTGCAGGCAAAGTATTCCCTGCAGTTCCTAGCATTCACGAGATCTCAAAGCACTCCAGCAAGCTAATAATATGACACTGTACCTATAGAATTAAATGTAAAGTCTGTACAGTATAGAGAGAATTTACATTCCTTCAAATCTGGTGAAACCATATGTACAATGGTTGTTAACACCAAGACACCTGTGTCTCAACTTTTAAATCGCATCTAAATTAATTCTTTGAAGGAGGTCACTAAGAATTTAGATTGTATTTAAAAGTGAAGCAGTATTAATCTTCAAAATAAAACACATGTTAAATTATTTTGATTCCAGTATAAAAGATTCATACCAAAGCTTCTCGGACAATGTTTTGTACTCATATTTTGCTTCTTTAAACTTTATTTTAACTTCACTCCGTTTGTTATTGCCATTTTGAGTAACTCCTGTATTAAACTTTGTAGTTTCCTTTACTACTTAACTTACCCAACACTTGTGTAACTGTATGGCAGAGGCTTTGTTTGGTGTCCATCGATATTGTTTAAAAAAGTAGAAAAAAATGATATCTGAAGAATTTCCCATTTCCTTAGCTCACTGAGCATTACTTCACATCCCTTCTGACATGACACTAATTACATACATATATTTTTTATCTTAAAGACAGAAATTTACCTTGCTTATTTTTCAAGTGGATAGGTTGACAGAAACAAATCAGAAATTTAGGAAAACTAAAACACAGGTACAAGTTAGTGGTTGATACTGGAGAGCAGAAGATCCCTGGCTGGCTGGATGCCTTACACAATGCATGCTGGCACAGAAACGTTACCAACTTATATCAACTTAACTGCTACACTGGCTTGAAGTCAGAAACATTTTGTGATAGAAAGGCAGGCTTTTAAAAATTAATCCAAGTTCAGCCATGGTGTAACACCAGTGTGTAAGTGAGACTCGGTAACACAGTATTTCAATGAACCATCAATCCAAGCCAGTAATTTTTATGTCAACTTCTTGCAAGATTACAAATAAGGTTCCTCTTCAGTAAGCATATGGTTCTGCCAGCATATGGCAGGCACAGGCCAGGGAGGAAAGATTTTAGATCTCTTGCATACCTACATCATACAAACATAGAATGGTTTCGGTTGGAAGGGGCCTTAAAGACCATCCAGTTCCAACCCCCCTGCCATGGGCAGGGACACCTTCCACTAGACCAGGGTGCTCCAAGCCTCATCCAGCCTGGCCTTGAACACTTCCAGGGATGGGGAAGCCACAGCTTCTCTGGGCAACCTGTCCCAGTGCTTCCCAAGAAGAATTTCTTCCTGATATCTAATCTAAACCTCCCCACGTTCAATTTAAACCCGTTACCCCTGGTCCTGTCACTACAGGCCCTTGTAAAAAGTCCCCCCCAGATTCCTTGTAGCCCCTTCAGGCACTGGAAGGTGCTATAAGGGCTCCCCGGAGCCTTCTCTTCTCCAGGCTGAACAAGCCCAACTCTCTCAGCCCGTCCCCATGGCAGAGGGGCTCCAGCCCTCGGAGCATCTTCGTGGCTTCCTCTGGACTCACTCCAACTGGTCTATCACCTCCTGATGTGGGTTCCACAGCTGGACGCAGCACTCCAGGTGGGGTCTCACCAGAGCAGAGTACAGGGGCAGAATCACCTCCCTCGCCCTGCTGGCCACACCTCTCCGGATACAGCCCAGGATACGGTTGGCTTTCTGGGCTGCCAGAGCACACGGCCGGCTCATGTTCAGCTTTTCGTCTACCAGTACCCCCAAGTCCTTCTCCTCAGGGCTGCACTTCACCACGTTCCACGCTGAGGTTTCACACTGCCCTACTGATGTCTTGGAAATTGCTGATCATATGTGTCACAGAAGAGTATTTTGTGTCCAACCTCCTCATAATTTTTATTGTGACAACCACTATGATAAACTGAGGTGGCAAAATGATGCTGAATGTTTGCGAGACTGCCCTGTCCCGCATCTTTCTATCCCTTCATGCCATCTAGTGGAGACGAACCCCAGCAGCATGCTCTCATGGGAGCCCCTTCCCCATGGCACCCCTGCCGCTCGGGTAGTACCCTGTTTGGTGGGCACTTATGGGTGGCAGTTGCACAAGCACAAAAATCCATCTGCCCGCAGCTTGTGCTAAAGCTGCAAGTTCCTGCACGCAGGGACACAGATGTCATAGGTATGCAAATTGGTGCTACTTCAGTGTCACACTTATACTACTACCAAATGTTTGCTTTCACAAGAAATGCTATGGTATTTTCAGAGGACTAATTCCATCTTCTCTTAACAGCAAACACTTTTCCAGTGTGCCTGAAGTATTCACAGAAGTCACTGCATGGCATAAAACAAAGAAAACCTCACCTTAATTTAGAAAATAGAGCATCTGTGGGATGTGTTAATTCCCTGTAATTAAGCACTAACATTTTATCAATCATAATTATGCAGTTAAATTTACACCTACAGACTGAATCCAAAGAAACTGTACCAAACAGCCATCCACACAGGTCGAGGCCGCAGACTGCGCTGACTGCATTCTTGGCACAGCTGTACCCCAAGGGATTCAGACCAATGGTCCCTGTCCACCAGCAGCCTGCCCCACTGCTCCTGGGGCTGTGTGCTGGTTTGCAGAACCTGGAGCAGCTGCAAGGCCTTGTAACCTACAGTGGTGAAACAAACCCAGAACCCTCACAGCAGCAGGATGTTGCTAACACAGGTGAGATGCCAAAGGAGCATTAACCTTCTCGCTATTAAGGACTTGCGAACGTTCTCTTAAACAGTCTGGGATACAACACAGCTGTACACTGGGTGTCCTAGGAAGCCTGTGCTAATGGCTAGATAACAAGAAAATGTTTTCTGAATATAAAATCTATCCTTGCAAAGCAGCAAAATAAAATAACATAATAAAAAAAGAATCAAAAAATGTAAAAATAAAATGTCTGTCTCACACCATGTAGTATCTTTTGCAACTTCTATCTGCTATAGAGCCTGAACTGTACCTTGAGTTCATTTCAAGCAAAAGCAGGGCCTTAAGAATCACTTGTAAGAGCAGAAACTGCATGAAGTGACTGCTATTCCCTGGTCTTGGCTATTATTTACTGCCCTCACAAAACACATCTTTTTTTAGTAGAACTATTCCAGGAAAATGCCACAGGGCACGTACTCTAGCAGTACTTGCATCAGTACCAATGCAATGAGGAACACTACTCTCTGGTAGACAGCCTGTGACTAGTCCTTCAGAAGGTGAGCTTCCACACTGGAGAAGGCCGCTTAGGGGGCCTGGCTGTAATGCTCGTGCCCATCTGTCCAGCTGGACAAAAGCCAAAGAAGAACAGTGATAACGGCTGACGTGAAAAGGACCCAACACAATTATTTATAAAACACACGAAATGGTCCTTGTGCTCAGGCTAAGTCCTCGGCAAGCAGGCATCAGGTTACTAGACACAGGGCACTGTATTGCCTATTTAGCTCTTTGGCTACCACAAACCCAAGGATTTTTCTCAAAACCAGATGTAACCCCCCTGAAACAGCAATATACGCTCATCCACAGCTGTCATTGTAGTTTCAACAAGTTAAATCCCTAGCAACACATCCGAGACACTCCGTCTTCAGCAATGCTGGGGGTTTACTAGTGAGAACATGACTCAAAATATGCAAAGAGGATCAGTAACATTCTTAATGAGTTGTGTTTTTTCTTAATACACCTTTGAGTCATAGTTAAAATGGTAAGGTTGTTTCAATTTCCACTCAAAGGCAGGAAGATGGGTATCCCCTAAGGTCATGCACAAGACAGCTGTTGGGAGTGGCAGTCCCGGCATGCCCAGATTGCTGTGCCCACGCATCCTCACCCCCCCATCCAGGCGGGGCACTTCAGCCACTGCGGCAGCCGAGGCCGGAAGCTGCAAGTTCCTAGCACAGTTCACACATCTCTGCTTTACACGTTTCCGTGTTACACCAACTGGAAATCACGCAGCTAGTTACAAAAGGTAGCACTGCTGGAGCTGCAAAACTTACCATTTGGGGTCCAACATTCACATTGATTGGTCCTAAGGTTTTTGGCAAAATCTTAGTTGGGGAGTTGGTGCTGGAAACTGGTAATGTGATTACTGAAATATTACCTAAAAAGAGCAGTAGAAAGAGAGTTTTAAATTAATTCCTTAGTAACCTATGAATAACATTTTGGCAAGTTCTCACATCACTAACGTTTTGGAATCAGGTTAGCTTTTGTGTCTCATACTCTGCACACACACCCTCACACAACAGCCTCAGACCTTTTATCAGATGTCACAAGGACACCTCACAAACCTACACCTTCACTATTTTACCTTTAAAATTACATGTTAGTATTCCAGAAACAATTTCTTCTGCCTAAGACAAAGAGCATACAGCCTGCCATACCTCAGCAATTAAAAGTTAAAATCAATGAGTATACTTCTAGAAAGAAGTCAGCATACAAATGCTATTTATAATAAGTACACGTACAAACCAAGCATCCATGTCTTCACAGCCTTAACCAATCGTCATCTGACTACACTGAAGCAGTGAAGTAAGCCAATCACTGTCCAGATGGAGTAAATGATGCCTTTGCAACTTACCTTAAGTAACAGAGCAGGCAGCTGGACCTCAGAACAAAGCCAACCATGCATCTCTAACCCAGCTTGTTCTCACCCCAAGATGTTTACCATCTTTGTGATCGTGGACTGCTTACAGATCTACATCATCCTGCCTTCACAGAGAGAAGCACAGCTCTATGCTGAGTGCCTCACAAATGCCACTGCTCCTCCTCTATTCCAAATCCTACCTTGTAAGCTTTATTATTCAGACTCAATGTCTTAATCAAAACTGTCACACAACACTACCATTATAGCCCATGATGTTCAAACTTGTACAGAAGCCACCCAAAGTGGTGAACATGTTTATCTACAGACATCGTGGAGGCAGCAGCTCCTGTCTCTATGACAGTTTCAGAGCAAAAGGGCTGGGAATTGATCAGTCAAATACCTCCCCCATTCTTATGCACAGCCTTATTCAAACTGGGGAATTACAGTGGTGGGTCTGGAGGCAGAATCGAATAAGGAAGAGCTGCCACTGCCTTGTAATCCACAGAGTCAGCGTGGATCTAGATGGGGCCATGAGCCATAAGGACAAGGACCGGCTCCAGAAGAGCTGCTTAACACTCTCTGCCAGGAGCAGAGAGAAACTGAAGGCATCTGAGGTGACAGGTTTCTTCACAACAGCGCAGACACCAGCCCTCGCCACCGCCCTGCCCTGCCCTCTCCTTCCTCAGGAGTTGGCCAACATTCAGCTTCGCCCAGACGGTCCCAAGCTGACTCAGTGGTGTTAGACATCTCTGTTCCCCGGTCTCTTCTCACATAACCTGCTCTCCTCCACTGCCCGCTTTTCTCTTCTCACTTGATCCTGAATCATGGCCCTATGTCTTAGTACAGCTATGTTCTCCCATGAGATAACTGGAATATCATAAATTCAACAGTGTAACTGCTCTGTAATACAAAGCAGAAGCAACAATTGAGAGAAAAAGAATACTTGACAAAGGATCTTCTCTAGCTATATAGCACAGAAGTAGAAAAGATGTAGACATACGCCAAGTCTCACCTTTATAAAAAATGAACAGAGATACGACAAACATTTACATTTTGAGACAAAGGTGTTCTAAGGTTCTGTGTGAATTCCTCTGGCATCTGGAGTAACACTAATACTTAGTATTAATTTTCTAAAAAGAAGATCTGTACCCAAGAACATCTTTGGAAGAAGCTGGCTTCTTTGTTATTCAACAAGTTGAATAATTTACTCAGTCACCTAACTCACCTAGAAAAACCAAGTTATAAACCCTTGCAAACCCACCCCCTCAGTAAAACCTTGCTCTTTATGAAACACCTTTTGTGAGGTAGCGCCAGAGTGCATAAGACAACAGTTAACTCATGATTTATGGACACTGTGTCCACATTCTGAGCTCAAAACAGTTCTCTAAACTGGCCAGTTACTTGGCAACTTTACTTTTGCTACAGGTTTTTTTACCCAGGATCTGCTAAGCTGTGCTGTGTTCTCATACAAACCCAGCCTCCCCTCTCATTGCAGGCTGTCATCACTGACGTGCCTGTCACTTCCCAGTTCTGTCGTAGAAATTTTTCTCTTGTCTACTGCAGCTGAAACCTTTGCCCCCCTTTTCTCCAACATCAGCTCTCATGGTATTTCTACTTGTCCCTTTTCTTGCCAGGGAAAAGAAATTCATTACTTTCTCTGGTACCGAACACGTAAGGTCACAAGGCAAAGTGCAGTAAAATTATGAAATGTCAGCTTTTGCCTTACAGTTCTCTTACCCCAGGGCTACATCAGAGTCGTCCCCAGCAGCACTTCCTGGCTTGCGTGAGGGAGGCACTGCAATGTTGTATTTCACGACATGAGACCTGTCAGACCTACTGCACTGTGCTATTAGCGCTGCTGGTGTACAGTTCAGTGTACACATCTACCCACTGTCCCACCTCAATCGCTGACACATGGTTTCTTTCTTTCTCAACACGTGGCATGTAGATTGTAATCTATTTGCACTAGCAATAGTTTTTAACATCTGTATGTATGTGCATACACATATACACACACACGTACCTCCCCTCGCCCACACACGCGGACTCCCTGAAAACTGTAGCTTAAACCTCCAATGCCCATGACCAAAACGACTAGATTTACTGTAGCAGCCCTGGAAAAAACACTAATTAAGAGCTGCCACTGCACCATGCCTTCATTTACAAGGCTACCTAGATAAATGTCTATGGTCACCATTAGGGCAACTTTAGTAAAGACAAGGGTTGTTGAAATTACTTGATCTTATTTTTAAAAAGATGGTCACTTACATATGACATGCTTAAAAGTCTTTCTGGCTAGAGTTACTGTCAGTAAGAGATCTCCACCTTCTAATCCTCTTGTGCTTTAATTCCAGCCAGTAACTGAACACCACACAGCCACTCACTCACCCTACACAAATCCCCACTTGGCAGCAGAAGTGTCAAAATGATCATAAGAGTTGATCAAGTTTTCAAATAAATGTTTCCCTGCCCTTGTCCTTCGTTTTAGATTTCTTTATGGGCAAATAAATGTATGTGAACGTGTAGACTTTTACACACAGGTAGGATGGAAGGGGACCGGTTTCTTCTTGAGTGAGGACTCTCATCCACCATGGACAGAAAAAAAGAGCAACCAAATTTTTCACAATAAGAGGGCACTCTGCGTGTTTGTCAGCGATTACAAATCAATTACAAATAAAATATTTCCTCTCTCCCGTTTTGTTTGTTTGTTTTTAATCACCTCCCCCCTGCCAAAATAGTGTCATAGCCCAGACACTCACGTGACCTCAGCTGCTCCAAATACTGAGTAGTGGAAACACCACCTTCCCATCTCTCTTCACAGCAACCATGACAGTTGGCTCACCTGGTTGCTGCAAAAAGTTCAAGTTTTTCCAAACAGATCACACCAGCACCCCAACCTCAAGAGACATGTTTTGCAGTCCAAATTCCAAGAGCACCCCGTCCTGCCCGCAGCCCTTGCGCAGCAGCAGCCCAGGTCTGTGGGACACAGCTGCCACTGAAAGAGCTGGAGCTAGCCAGGACTGGTGCCAGCACAATAAAGCCATGACCCCAAACCCAACTACAACCAGCTTAGAGAGCAGGCACTTGTTTGCTAAGATGGCTAGCTGTATTTTACACCACATTTTTGAGGTTAGGGTACATCTGTTTGCTGAAGAGCTAGTAATTTCTGAAGTTTGGAAGGACAGGCAGCATTACAAACCAGCAAGCATTAACAGGAACAATCTCTTCAAGTCTTACTTATAAAACAGCCTAGAAAAAGTAGAATGAGGAAGTAGATGTCACACTGTTTGTAGATCATCTAAAAAAATACTCAACAGATTTCTGTATTCAACTTAAAGCAGAAATATCACCAAACTAATTATACATACTTGATCATATAGCAGCTGTAAACATGATCAAATTCCAAGTCTTAAAAACACCAGTCACTTGGTGACAAAAAACAGAGGACACTGATTTATGTTTCACTGAAAACCAGCAGTGTGTATAGTGATAAGCTGAACCCAGTGAGACCCACCAGCCTCCTAGTCATAGCAATCTTACTGCATGGATGGAAAAGGTCAGCAGAGATGGATCCAACTAGAATGATTCGTATAATAATACTCAATTCTTATATAATGTTTCTGGTGGTAATTTTAAAGCACAAAGGAGATCAGTGTCCTGATTCCCATTTTACATATGGCAAACTGAGCACATGGGAAAGAAACCCACTTAAAACTTTCAGAAAGGCCTTAACTGCCATATTTATAAACCCACCACAAACTCAGCATGCTCATCACTGATGTAAATTCAAGACAAAAATCTGTTAGAGGAAATGTGTATGTTTCTCTTAGAACAAAAGTACTTTGCCTCTACGTAAATTATTTTTCCATCCCTTGGTCATCACTTCTCATGGAGGAAAGAACAGTGTTGCTATTCTTTCATGTTTAGAAAACCATGATCACTAAGTAACTATCATTTTTTATGGCATTTGCTAAATATTTTTACTTGCACACACAAAGAAGAATTCAGTTTAGATTACCTTCAGTTTCAAAGAGTTACAGACTAGTTATTCATATTTACGTAGAGGTATGCTCACATACACGCACTAACTGTCCCACAATGCTGACTTTAAATCATTATGTGGCGTCCTAGACAGCTTAACTTCACACAAACAACATGGACTCCTATACAAATATAAAGCTAAAGAGGTTTTAGTGATTTTTTTCCCCTCATATAACTAAATTTGTTAGGTCTGCAGCTTCGTTGCAAAGATAATCAGAAACAATGTCAACTGGAGAATCTGTAGTATCTGTCACAGCCAGTTTGAAGGAAAGCATAGCTGATGGGAAGCACAGACCAACCAGCTGGGGTCACACACAATGCATACGTCAACAGAAAAAGTCTTTGAATTTGTAGACAGAACACCAGGGAAGTGCTGGTAATTTGGATTTCATATTCAGAGCTCTGAAACAAAAGCCCACATTTTTTAAAAGTGTATTGAAGAACAGCCGTTTTAAACAATACAGCCTATGGCCTGA